TCTAGCTACTTGGGGGGCAGAGATCTGGAGGATTGCAGTTCCAGGCCATCCCAGGAGACAGTCCACAAGACCACATCCCCGCCAACTTAAAAGCGTAGCGTATGTGCCTATCACGCCGGGTGTGTCTGAGGTGTAATAGGAGATGGTGTGGTAGGCTGCACTGAGACCCTCTTCAGAAAAGACCTGAAGCATAAGGGCTAGCGGTGTGGCTCAGGCGGTAGAGCACCCACCCAGGGAGTGCAGGACTGGAGTTCAAGACTCAGCGTTGAGGAAAAAAAAAAAGCAGCGTTCTGAGTGTTCTGAGTGCCAGACACAGAAGGAAGGACAAACACTGCATCTTCTCATCCACTTATATGTGGATGAGTCCTAGAAGCAGAGAGATCGGTGGTCCCCGGCCTGTCAGGTGGGGTGGAGGAGCTGTGGGTCCAAGTTCACACTTGGGTTATCAGGTGAGCAAGTGCTAGTCAGTGCTCATACTGAGTGCTAAAGTGTGCACACAGGTAACCTCCATGTGTGGGAGGGACGTGCTATTATCTTGTGGTGGTAATTGTACTGCAGTGTGCAGGGTATCAAAACGCTGTGCTGTACACCTTCAATTTCTGTAATTTGTATCTAGCAAAGGAAAGCCGCAACCACATCCTCCGTGGCACTGACCGCTGCCGTCGCGATGCTCCTGTGGGGGCGGGCTCTTCAGCCGTTGAAAATTTGCATATTTGGGGCTGGGAAGGTGGCTCAGTGGTAGAGCGCTTGCCTTGCATGCTCAAGGCCCTGGGTTCGATTCCTCAGCACCACATAAGCAAAAAGAAAAAAAAGCCGGAAGTGGTGCTGTGGCTCCAGTGGTAGAGCGCACTAGCCTTGAGCTGAAGAGCTGAGGGACAGCGCCCAGGCCCAGAGTTCAGGCCCATGACCAGACCCCCCAAAAAAAAAAGAAAAGAAAATTTGCGTATTTATGCCAGTGCTGTGAAATCACTTTATTTTTTCCAGTTATGTTAATGACTGACGTAAGATTGAAAGTTTCAAACCAGGCCAGTTGCTGGTGGCTCATGTCTGTAATTTTAACTGCTCAGAAGGCTGAGAACTGAGGATCCCGAAAACTGGAACTGGCACTGTGGCTAAGTGATAGAGCGCTTGCCTTGAGCTGAAGAGCCGAGGGACAGCACCCAGGCCCAGAGTTCAGGCCCCACGAGGGATGAAGAAAAAAGTTTCAAACCAAGAATGAAATGTATCTCTTTCAAAAGAAGAATTTCAAGGTCTCATCGCTCTGGTCTGTGTCAGATCTGTGAAGCCTCCTCCGTGGTTCTGGTTGGTCCTGGTGAAAGGAAAATCCCAAAAGGGCCTAGAAGTGATGCTGGCAGTAATAAAATACTGGCGCACCGCGCTGTGCGGTGCTGCCCTCGGCGTGCAGTGCTAAAGCAATGGTGCACAGTGCTGTGCACGGCGGCCCTGCTGCGTTCCACAGCACTACAGTAACGCATCAGGGCAGCAATACAGTGCTGTGCTGGCCCACGGCGTGGGTGGCTGCCCCACGGGCCCGGTGGAACTGTGGGGGTGAGGGCTGTTCTTGGGACTGTGACGGCTTCCGAGTGTTGGCTTGTGAGCTGAGATACAGCTGCACACCAGGCCTAGGCAGACGGGCATCATGAGGCTGGTCTGGGGCCCCCGCTGGCCTCCCCTCCTTGCCTTCTTATTCCGCCTCCCCCCCAGGCCCGAGGCCTGCCCTCGTAAACAGAAAGGCCCTTGGCTGGTGCCCCTCGGTAGCCGGCCCTGGCACCTGCATGCCCAGGTAAAGTCCCGGCAGCAGGCGTGGCTGTTAGAACGCAGCCCCGCCCCCAGGAACGTGTCCACGCTGCTGGACGTCCTCGCTCTGGGCCGTGTCAGCCTGAGCAGGCTCCCGCTCCTGTGACACGCGGCACTGTTCCGCCAGGGTGCATTCCCCGTGCAGTCAGCCCCGGGCAGTTCCGTGAGACCCACGGTGATGGGAAGTTTCCCTTGCAAATTAACTTCTTAGAAAAAGTTGTCACTTATTTTTCTGCAGGGATGTGACCCTAGAGGGGTAACATGGGCTGTGTCCAGCTTGGTGGAGGTGGACAGTCCCTGGGGTCAGAGGTCAGTGGTGAGGCGGGAGCTGAGAGGAGGGAGCCTGTGTCAGGTCAGGTGATTGTGCATATCTGTGCCCACGCTCAGCTGGAATGCTCACACTCAGCGTCCAGTGCTCACCTGGCCTGGTCTCCGCCCACACTCTACCACAGACCCCTCCTCCGGGAGTGAAGCTCCCGGCTTAGCCGCGCTCTTGAATTTGTCTCCTCAGTGAGCGGACGCCTGGCCGACATGGCCAGCCCTGTACAGACTGCAGCTCTTACTGGGCTGGTCTCCACAGGCCAGCCAGCAGAGAGAGCCCACCCCTTCTCCCCACACCCCTGCAGAGTGCAGACCACCCCTCCTCCCCACACCCCTGCAGAGTGCAGACCACCCCTCCTTCCCACACCCCTGCAGAGTGCAGACCATCCCTCCTCCCCACACCCCTGCAGAGCAAGCCCACCCCTCCTCCCCACACCCCTGCAGAGTGCAGACCACCCCTCCTTCCCACACCCCTGCAGAGTGCAGACCACCCCTCCTCCCCACACCCCTGCAAAGTGCAGACCACTCCTCCTCCCCACACCCCTGCAAAGTGCAGACCACCCCTCCTTCCCACACCCCTGCAGAGCGAGCCCACCCCTCCTCCCCACACCCCTGCAGAGTGAGCCCACCCCTCCTCCCCACACCCCTGCAGAGCGAGCCCACCCCTCCTCCCCACATCCCTGCAGAGAGAGCCCACCCCTCCTCCCCACATCCCTGCAGAGTGCAGACCACCCCTCCTCCCCACACCCCTGCAGAGTGCAGACCACCCCTCCTCCCCACACCCCTGCAGAGTGCAGACCACCCCTCCTCCCCACACCCCTGCAGAGTGCAGACCACTCCTCCTCCCCACACCCCTGCAGAGCGAGCCCACCTCTCCTCCACATCCCTGCAGAGTGAGCCACCCCTCCTCCCCACACCCCTGCAGAGTGCAGACCACCCCTCCTCCCCACACCCCTGCAGAGTGAGCCACCCCTCCTCCCCACACCCCTCCAAAGTGGAGACCACCCCTCCTCCCCACACCCCTGCAGAGCGAGCCCATCCCTCCCCCCTGAAGAGCACAGACCATCCCTCCCCCCTACATTCCTGCAGAGCGAGCCCACCAGCTTCTGCCTCCTCTTTGGGGCCCTCAACGAGGCGGGATGTCTTGTGTGGCTCTGCCTTCCAGCTCCTCACCTTTTCATCTCTGTGCACTCTCTCTACTTTGACATTTGCAATTTTTAAATATTGCATCAAATATTGCATGTGGTTTTCTTGTATATCTGCATCTTTCTTCTCCTTTGAACTACACTGCCACCTGTGGCTTTTTGTTGGCTATTGAACCTAAGAATATCTCAGATTTGTCTACCCAAGCTGGCTTGGAGCCACGGGCCTCAGATCTCAGCCTTTGGAGTAGCTAGAGTCACAGACAAGCCACCAGCCCTGGCTTGGGACCTTGGGCTTTAGGCCCTGCTCCAGGGTGCGTGAGGGTTGGGAGTGTGGCTGTTGGGAAGTCCTTCTCCTCTGTGCCCTTGGTTGGGAGAAGAGTGGTTGTTTGGTGGACCTCGGGCCCCTGCAGCGTGGATCACATCGGGACTCGGTGCCAGCCTGCAGGGCAGGGCAGGGCAGGGCAGCCTTCTGCACAGGCCGGAGGAGCGGGCTGGGGTCCGGTGGGAAGTATTTAGCGCTGCTGTTGGATCACTTGTTTTGAAGCTCAGGGCACAGGCTCAGGCTTCCCAGTGTGATGGAGGCTGGCCTGCCCGCGGCTGGGCAGGCGCCGTGGTCCTTGTGTAAGGCTGCCTCCCAGGGTGTCCTCTGTGCCTTTCTCATTCTGTTTAGAACTCTAACGGCCTCCCTTGCCCGAGTGGCCCGGATGTGGGGAAGGCCCAGCGAGACTGTCCAGCGGCCTCTGGTTTGGTACCCAGCTTCTCTCCTCTAGCCCCCTATGCCTTAGATGAGAGGCAGCCAAGGCCAGCCCTGGGCGTGCGGGTCCCAGGCTTCCCCAGGGCTGGGGACAGCAGGTGCCCTGCGTGCCAGCCGATCCGGGTGCACCAACCCCGCAGCACAGCCACCTGTGGTCTTGGTCTGTGATGTCCCCACCCCACTCCTGCTGCTGCTCTGCCAGCTCCGGAGCTCGCTGGGTGTGGATACCAGCAGTAGGCCCTCCCTCCCCAACCCCCAGCACTCTCTGGCAACCTGGGATGCCCGCCACCCAGCCTGGTTGGTCCCAGCCTGGGCTGCACCCCCGGCCCTCTGAAGGGCAACTGTGTGCCATGTCTGCCGTGGTGCAGCTCCCCACTGGCCGGGGCAGGGCTGCCCCTCAGAGTTGTCTGGCCTTCCCCGCAGCAAGCCAGCCTCTCCTGGAGGACTCGACTCTATGCAGCCTGCCCTTCCCCCGCCTCCATCCTACTCTGCCCTGCACCCCCTGCACCCCTGGATGCCTGTCCGGGCCCTGCCCACTGTCCCCCCACCGACTCTGACTTTGCCTGGCGGCTCCGCCCCTAGGAGCTGGGCTGCCCGGGGTGGAGGTGGAGGTGATGCTGGTGGGCCCTGCAGGCCGGAGTCTGGTGTGGGCTTGCCCTGGTGCACACCCGCCCCGCCCCGCCCCGCCCCACACACAGTGCCCAGAGCCCCTCCACACAGACACACAGCTGAGATGTGGGACGTGCTGGGATTTGCTCTTTGCAAATGAAAATGACGTGGACTTCCTCCCTCCCAGCCCAGGCCCCCTGCTGGGTGGAGCCGCCCGGAGGTGGAGGTGCCTCTTGCTGGGCTGACTCACGGCTCCGCTCCACTCCTACCTGGGCAGCTCCCAGCCTCCCCTGGACCTGGGCTCTGCTCTTCCGTGGACCATGTGCTGTTTCCCGAGGCCTAATTAACTCATGTCTTTCTCTCTTTTCTTTCAGTCCGCAACTGTGTCTGATGGTGGTAAGTCCTGATTTATGATACTTTATTTTTCAATGACGTTTTCAGATTGAGAAAATGTTTTGTTATTTAGCCCAGTCAGGAAAGTGTTCCTTGCCTGTCCCTAGCCCTCTGTGGGAGGTTCTTGGCCATGGCCGGCCTGGGGCTTTGCGGAGGCCACGGCACGGGTGGCAGAGGGGAAGCGCGGACCATTGCGGGCTGGGCCTGGGCAGTGGCAGGGCTCCTGCGGCGGTGGGTGACAAGTTCAAACATGCCCCGCCTTCCCCGCACAACCAGCCTCACCCTGCCAGCCAGCTCTCAGAGCCCTCCCTGAGCCCAGCGGTGCTGGAGTTGGATTGAGACTCCTGGTTGCTAACTCTCCTTCTTAGGAGAAAGTTAGGTGAGCTGAGGGCCCGGTGAAGAAGAGTCAAACATTTCAAACATTTCCCTTTGTTGTTAAGAAATTCTGCGCACAGAGGTTCTTCTAATAGGACCAGTTCAAAAAGGAAATAGCCAGAAACGTTTAGTTTAATTTAGGAGAACTCGGTGTGATCCTTGTCAATTTTCCTCCAGTTATTCTGTAAAAACTGAAACTGTTGGAGAGTTTCATCCAAAGACGACTTGTTTCTCGAGTAACTCTTAGTATTGAGAGAAACTTTTGGAAACTTCCTTTTGTCCCACAACTGCCACCTTGAGTGTTGGCCTTGGGAGAGGCTGCTGTGACCAGGGAGAGGCTGTGACCTGGGGGGAGGCCTGGGGGAGGGGTCCGCATGGGACAGAGGAATGTGTTCTCCTGAATAACAACCAGTGCACCGAGAACCGGACCAGCGGCCTGGAGCTCCAGAGTGGGGGTGGAGCTTTTGAATAAAGGGAATTATATTCCCTTCCGTATATCTCCCGACAATAGTGGATGTGTCACTTAATCAGTCTTGAGCTGGAAGTGTGAAAACTTCCTTAATGCAGGAAAAGAAACCCAGCTGTGGGGCCCAGCCCAGCCCAGCCCAGCTCTGAGGTCAGGCCTGCCCTCTGGCTGCTGGAGGGGACTCCATTCTCACTGGGAATTATAAATGTAGTGTGCAGTTGATCCTCTGGTATTCTGGGGGCGGGGGGGGGGGGGCCTGCCGTGGTGCCCGGCTCCTCACCACCTTCCTCTGGTGGGGCACCCCGGCTCCCTGGACATTGGTTTTCCTTTCATTTTTCTTCTGTGTTCTCTGGCTTTTCTAATTATTATTTTTTATTGTGAAAATACCGTACAGAGGGCTTACAATTACATGAGCAAGGTAATGAGTACATTTCTTATCACCTCCTCCTTTGTTTGCCCTTCCCATCCTTTCCCATCTCCACTGCCTCCCCACCTCCCCCAAATTGTAAAGTTCATTTTTCGACATAACGACTTGTACATCTCATTGTTGCAATGGGTCCACCTGTATCCCTATTTAAATGATTTGTTTTTTCCCTTCCACTCCCCCAAATTATACCAACATCAAATACAGTGAAAACAGGGGTTATACCACAGGGGAGGGACATACAGAGCAACAAAGAAATAATCTTATAAATGTGTTAGAAATAATCACAAGAAAGAAAAAACATTTGAATACTTATCTGGGGCTTCATTTCACCTAACATCAACTTATCCAACGTTTTCTGCTTGTCTCAGACATATACTAGTTATTGCAAATAAGGGAAACCATGGGACCTATGTTTCTTTGGGCCTGGCTTACTTCACTTAGTATAATTTTTTCCAAATCTTTCCATTTCCTAACAAGGGGGGCAATGTCATTCTTTCTGATGGAGGCATAGAATTCCATTGTGTATATATACCACATTTTCTTGATCCATTCATCTACTGAGGGGCATCTGGGTTGGTTCCATATCTTAGCTATGGTAAATAAGGCTGCAATAAACATAGTTGTGCTGGTAGCTTTAGTATGGTCTTGTTTGTGATTATTTGGGTAAATGCCCAAAAGTGGGATTGCCGGGTCATTGGGGAGCTCTATATGGAGTCTTTTGAGGAACGTCCATACTGCTTTCCAAAGTGGTTGAACAAGTTTACACTCCCACCAACAATGCAGTAAGGTCCCCTTCTGTCCACATCCCCTCCAGCATCTGTTGTTATTAGAGTTCTTGATTATAGCCATTGTAACTGGGGTGAGGTGGTATCTCAATGTTGTTTTGATTTGCATTTCTTTTATGGCTAGGGAGGTTGAGCATTTCTTCATGTGTCTATTGGCCATCCTTCTTTCCTCTTCAGAGAAATTTCTCTGTACGTCTTTAGCCCACTTATTTTTTGGGCAGTTGTTTCTTTGAGGATTTGTTGTTTGGGGATTTAATTTTTTGAGTTCCAGGTATATTTTAGATATGAGACCCTTGTCCGTTGTATGGCTAGTGAAGATCTTCTCCCAATCCGTGGGCATTCTATTGATTTTGCTAGAACCTACAGACATATAGCCATCCCATTTTTGATAAGGGAGCTAAAAAAAAGTAGAATGGAAGAAAGACAGCCTCTTCAGTAAATGGTGCTGGCAAAATTGGTTAACTACTTGTAGAAAACTAAAGCTAGATCCTTATATATCACCCTGCACCAGAATCAACTCCATATGGATCAAAGACGTCGGAGTCAAAGCAGACACTCTGAAAACATTACAGGAAGGAATAGGAGAAACCCTAGGTCTCCTTGGCACAGGCCAAAATTTTCTTTTTTTTTTTTTTTTTGGTCGGTCATGGGGTTTGAACTCTGGGCCTGGGCGCTGTCCCTCAGCTCTTCAGCTCAAGGCGAGCGCTCTACCACTTGAGCTACAGCGCCACTTCCGGTTTTCTGGTGGTTTATTGGAGATAGGAGTCTCACAGTCTCTCCTGCCTGGGCTGGCTTTGAACTGCGATCTTCAGATCTCAGCCTCCTGAGTAGCTAGGATTACAGGCGTGAGCCACCAGCGCCCGGCTCGAAATTTTCTTAATAGAGACCCAGAAACACAACAAATCAAAGAAAGGTTGGACAAATGGGATTGCATGAAGCTGCAGAGCTTTTGCATGGCAAAGGACATGGCTTTTCTAATTATGAGTGAGAAGTAGACGCTCCCTGATTGACTATGCATATTGCCTTATCTGCTGTTCCGATGGATGGGGCGAGGCCCAGGCTCCTCTGGAGGCAGCCTCTGCCCTGGGCTCTGCTCAAGTGCTGGAGCCACGCAGCCGCTGTGGAGCCCAGCTCCCAGGAGGCCTCCCCCTCCCTCTCCCCTCCCCTCGGCCCTCCCTCTCCCTAGCTCCCCGCCCCCTCTGCTGACCCTGGCCATCCCTTCCCAGGGACTAGCAGGAGTGGTGAGGAGGGCTGGGCAGAACTGAGGTGTGCTTCCACAGACATTTTCATGTTGCGGGTCAGTGGTAGATGCCGGTCACACAGGAGCATGGGACTTGCAGCTTCTGTGGGACACCGTGGTCTGAGCAGGGGTGAGGGTGGACGAGCCCCAGCCTTGGGAGGCCGTGCGCCCGCCTGGGGCTGCGTCTGCGTCAGCCTGGTCTCGGGATCGGCGGGCCCCCCCCCTGCACGCCCCCTCCCGCACGCCCCCCTGCATCCCCCCCCCCGCACCCCTCCCCCGCACGTCCCCCCCTCCCCTCCGCGGCTAGTCCAGGCAGTGTGTGCCTTTGCTCACAGTGAGTGCTGTCTGCAGTCTTGGTTAATAGGTGTGTTTTGTACTTGCTCAGAAGGGAAGGGCTGTGAGTACCCACTTTGAGGCTAGAGACCACTGGAGGTCTAGCTCAGAGCAGAAAGAACATTCTAGCATTTGGAAGCTTGTGCAAAAGTCTGTACAGAGTATAATTCCTTCCAGGAATCCACCTGGAGGGACATTTCAAGTCGTTAAAATATGCAACAGGCCCCAGGCCAGCACGCTGAGCTCTGGTACCAAGCCTAGCACCTCAAAAAGAGGGAGAAAGGGGCAGGGAGAGGGGGACAGGGAGAGAAGGAAGGAGAAAAGGGAAGGTATGCATAAGAGCGCTGGGCTTTCCCTGTGGGGACTGGGCCTGGTCTGCGAAGGGAGCTCACGGCAGACGCACCGCAGCCTGAAAGCTATGATGGTTGCCCCTTCCTGAGCTTCTGGAGTGAGGGGCCGCGGCCAGGTCTGGGGGTGTGTGGGAAACGGTGCACAGCAAGCAAGGCTGGGCTCGCCAGCAGATGACAGCCACCAGCGGTCCCTGACTGCAGGGTCAGGGAAGACCCCAGGGCCTTGGGAGGCACCTGCGATGGAGCTGGAGGCCCCCACGTCCTCAGGGTGGGCTCCTCCTCCACCCCCTCCGTCCCTCACTCATGCCATTCACGCCTTTGCAAACAGCCACGCCCTGCCCTGCCCAGCAGGGACCCCGACCTGCCCTGTCTGCACAAGGGCCACGCAGTAGCCTGTCTACACTCACCATCCTCATGGCTGTGAGCTGGCTGCCAGCCAGCTCTCCTGCCCCTCCTGCCCTGCCCGCTCCCGTCCGTCCTGTCCACCGGGTGCCATGCAGGGGCCTGACTGCGGCTGGTTTCCCTTTGTCTCCCTGGATGCCCAGTTTGCTATGACTGTTACTGGTCTGGGCCAGGCCTGCGGGAGATCCCTCACCTCCGTCCTGTCCCGAGGACGCCCTCTCCTCCACCCAGCCCGCGCCTCCCCTGCCTCTCAGCTGTTTGACAGGCACTAAGCGTGTCCTGTTCAACCTTCATTTCTGGAAGGAAGCCTTTCAGTGTCAGTGGTGGCGATTTGGAGGGCTGGCCCCTGAGCACCGTCTCCATGCGTGGGAGCCGACCCCGGACATGCACGGTCCCGTGAGCGTCCGTGGCGGTGCTCACGCGGGGCGCCGGAACGCTGCCGCCGCCACCAGCCTCAAAATACCGAGGGCGACGTTAGCTTTCAGCAGGTGACTGCATTAAGTTAGGAGAGATGAGGGAAGCGGAGAAGGCCCGAGCATTGTGCTGTGGCTCTTTATGGAACATTATTTGGTGAACTCACATTTTTTCTCACTAAAAACGCCACCTAATTGCATACTTCAGAAAG